GCAGACCCAGAGCGTCTGGCTGCTACGAGAGAGCCAGCCAGCGTGCGCAGCGCCATTAAAGATGGGTCTTTGATTCCGCTGACTCCTGCGCCGTGACCTGCTGCTGGCATCGAGCAAGTCCTCCAGAGCATCTGTACCTTCCCTGGAGCGCCGCGACGCAGCGCGGCAAGCTTGGGACGGCGGCGACATACTTCACTGAGCCTAGCACATTCTTGGGCCCGTCGGGGTCTTCCCGAGAAGACTGCGTGGCCGAGGTTGCGCATGTGGGTGTAGCTCCGCCTGATTATACGAGCCGGCGACGATCGACGACGCTTTAGCTGCGGTGGCTACAAAGCCACTCTTGAGAACCTGCTAAATCAGACCGAAAGAAAAAACCTGATGGCAATACCACCTCACCGCGGCTAACAGCACATTGCACTCACACAGCCGTCTGCCGCCCCACTGGAAGCTAGCGTCATCCATGAGGATTCGCGGCTGGACAGCAAGGTAAAGTCTGCGTGCGCATCTTGCAGATCACGCGGTGAAGGAGCAGATGCATCACTTGCTCTGGACCTCTGCTCAGCGAGACTGTTTGGAGCAGTGCTCCCACGGGGAACCCCGTGGGGAACCGCCCGCCTGCTGGAAACAGGCGCCGCGAAACAGCCAAGATCCGCTCCATGGGGGAGGAGAGGGCCCGCGCCGATCGACAAAACAATGAGCAGCAAAAACGATCACGTGGACCGCCTTTGTGTCGATCGTGCCTTGCAGCAGGGGCGGAGCGAAGCCAGAGCGAGGACAAGACCGACAACACCGCACGAGGGCGAACCGCACGGCTCAGCTCGAGCCCTGCTCCTCGGAGGCCAGGGGACCCAGAACCCCCCGACGCCCAAATGTTTGTTTCACAGCGTCGACCCCCCGAGGTCTGGACCCCTTCCCCTGGACCCGCTCTTCATCCTGAGGCGCCCTTTTGAGCAGGGACCGACCGTCCCAGCATTCCTATAGTCATATCACGAAATGTTCTTAGAACCCAAAGATGTCCTAAGAACAAAAACGATGCTCTTAGAACATAAGCCCGATGTGTCAACACAAGACAATCTCCGCCAAAAATGTCCTAAGAACCTTTCGTTGAAATCACAAGAGGTTCTTAGAACATTGCTCGGTGGGGCTATAGGCGAGCCAGGGCGCTTCGCCACTGCTTGACTTTGACGGCCCCGAGGCCCGGGAAGGACCCGTGGAGGCCGACCCCCCGAGGTCTGGACCCCCCGAGGTCTGGACGTCGACCCCCCGAGGTCGACCATTTTTTTCACAACGTCGACCCCCCGAGGTCTGGACCCCTTCCCCTGGACCCGTTCTTCATCCTGAGTCGTCCTTCGACGGCCCCGAGGCCGAAAAGAGGCCGAAAAGAGGCCGAAAAGACCCGTGGAGGCCGAAAAGAGGCCGAAAAGAGGCCGAAAAGAGGTCCTTTGAAGGACCCGTGGAGGCCAAAGAGAGGGAGGAAAACCCCCCCCCCGTCGTGCTTCTTGCACGGCGATAGGGCGGTCTGGGGCGAGCCGCTGCACCAGGCGGGGCCTCTGAGGTCCCCCCCCCCCCCTCCAGCCCTCTCTGAAGGGGGCCCTGGGACACACAAATCAATACACGAAACACAAAGAGCAGGATTCCCAACATCTTTTCCCATGTTTTCGGAGCTTTTGCCTTCCCCCCACTTCCCCCATGTTCCCATCTGTTCTGGGGAATCGACGATTCATTGTGTCTGTGTGTTTTGGTTCCTCTCCAGCCTTCTCCGAAGGCCGCCCGCCTCGCGTCAGCCCCTCGAGAGGGGGCGCCGGCCCCCGCGGCGGGGAGAGCGAAGGAACAGATAGCGGGGCGAGGGAGGAGGCCGTGCGGCGTCGGGCAGGCGACCTAATGTCACCCTGGTCGATGGACCCCACTGTGATCGCCATGGGCACGTAGGCCTCCACTTCCCCCCCGCCCCCCCCCTCCACGTAGATTCGCAGTCACGCCCCGTCGGGATGCTCGATCGATCGCCGTCGCTCTGTCGGTTCTCCCATCGGCGGTAGCAGAGACACGGGAGGAGAGCATGGGGGAGCGAGGGGTCCAGCGAGGAGGAGACGTTTGCCAGCGTGGACCCCGAACAGTGAGTTCGTGCACCCTGGATGTGCAGGCCGCGTGGTGAACACTCTTTGGTGCAGTCTATATCGCCCAATATCCGCCACTTTGCCGCTGGGCACGGAGTGGGCGTGTCCTCAGGTCCTTTGCCCAATCCCTGGAGCCTCAGTCCTGAGGAGCCTTTAAAGAGCCCTGACCCAGCATCCAAAAACTTGGCGGCGCTTCCCGCATGCCCCGTGGTCTGTGCCAGGAGGTGCCGCGTGGATGTGTTGGGCACCAGAGGACCCCAGGACGGGCCAAGATGGCCCCAAGAGGGCCCAGTCGCCGAAAGATCGGCCCAAGACGCTCAACATGGCCCCCAGACGGCCAAAGAGGCCTCCACGACGCCCCAAGAGGCGTCGAAGAGGCATCCCCACAAGGCTCCAAGAAACCGAAATCATGGATGTTCCTTGGGTTGTTTCATGGCTTTTGGCCTACTCGTCGTTTCGGCTCACCGACGCTTCAAGAGAGCCCAAGAGGTCCAAGACCGCCCCAAGACAGCCCAAAACGTCCCCAAGGCGGCCCAGGAAAGCCCAAGACGGCCCCAAAGGCGCCCAAAACGGCCCAAGGACCCAAGACGACCCAAAAAAAGCACCAAAGAGAGAGAACGAACCGAAAATCCGAGCGCCGTCCGCCCCAAGGGGCTCCCAGGAGGCCCCAAGATGCCCCAAGAGGCCCCCAAGAGGCCCCCAAAAGGCCCCAGGAGGCTCCCACGAGATCCCAACGAACGTCCAATAGGCTTCACACCCACAACCCAGGCATGGCGGCGGGATAGGCCGAAGGCCATTCGATACATGGTTAAAGCTATGCGGTGCAGTCTGCACAGGGCAGACTATGTGGCGGAAGCCATGTGGTGCAAGCCTCGTGGTGGAAGCTGCGAGGTGGGAGCGACGTGCTGGGAGAAAAATATGATGGACGATGCTCGGCACAGTCCTTGTGGCGCAAGCTGCGTCTGGCCATCGCTCGGACGTCCATTCCCTGTGTTTTTCGGATTCGTGCGTGGTTTTTTCGCCAAGTGGTCAAGGATGCTCCTCGACGGTCCTCGCCGAAGGAAAAATGCACACGTCCGAGCGATGCCAAGGCGTGTTGCAGCCGACCGACGGAGCGCCCACGAGGCGCGCCCGGAGGCGCCCGCGGGCGGCCCCGCGGGCGAGCGTGCGGAGGGCGGCGGCCGCGGGCGGGGCCCCGGCGAGAACCCGACACACCGCCAGCCAGCCCGAGGGGGGCACTCCCGCGGCGTCCACTCGGCTATGCGCGAGAGTGACCCTGGGTAAGAGTGACCCTTGGTGCGCGGCCTTGGGGGGGGCCGCGGGGAGGCCAGGTCCAGGCGCGCTAGCCGCTGCTGCCGCTTCGCGCTCCGCCATCTGGCGGCCGCAGCCCGACCGTTGCTCGCCGCCGCTGGCGCTTCCGCCCGCGGCTGTAACAAAAAAAAAAAAAGTTCAGCCATCTGGGGGCCCGTCTGTGCCCGCACCAAAGGTCACTCCGGCGAAAGGTCACTCCTACGTCTGGCCGATCCACGAGCGGCGACGGGGCGATGACGGGGGAAGCGCATGCCCGCCACGATCGAGTCGAGACGCGCAGCCCGAGGTGCAGGCGCGGCATTTTGGATTCGCGAGGGCACGCTGCCGAGGAGGAGTGCGATCCTCTGAGCCTCGATGGCGTCGCCTCCTCGTCGGCCTCCTCGAGAGGGGAAGCACCAGCGCAAGCGGTGCCTCCGTGGCTCTCGACCGAAATCGGGCCGAGGAGCACGATGCGAGCCAGAAGCGGGCCCAGAGGGCGCTCCGAACTCTGGCGTCGCTTCCTCGTCGTCCTCCTCGAGAGGGGAAGCACCAGCGCAAGCGGTGCCTCCAAGGCTCTCGACCGAAGTCGGGCCGAGGAGCACGATGCGAGCCAGAGGCGGGCCCGGAGGCGCTCCGAGCTCTGGCGGTCGAGCGATGCCTCGAGGTCCGGGGCGGCGCAGGCCTGCTGCCGTCACCTCGAAGCTTCACTGGCCACGCCGAAGCCCAAGCTGCACACGGGTGCCTCCTCGTCCTCGTCCTCCTCCTCATGTGTGAGGCATCGCGAGCGATGCCGAGTCCAATCCCACCATCCTCAGCCCCCGCCCGAAGAGCACGGGCAACAGCCAACAACCGAGCCCACTCCCTCTCCTCCCTCGCCCGCCCCCGACCGCCCGTGCTCTTCTCCTCCTCTTCCGCTTGTCTGTGCCCTGCCTGCGCCTGCCTCTGCAGCCTCCAACTCCGCCCACCCTCCTCCTGCTCAGCATGCTGCTGGTGGACCCGCTGCCTGCGCGCCCTCTCCCTGCTGCTGCTGCTGCCACACCCCCATTGAGCTCCCCTCCGGGGAATAATCGCAAGCTTCTGGTACGTCGGTGTTCCCATTGTTGCCGGCGGCTACGACGACGGGGATGCCGTCGTCCGTGGCCTCGCCCAGGCAGGGCTCAACTGTGCAACGAGTCTCCGCTCTCCAGTGACACTCGGACGTCACTGAGGGTGCCAATCCAGAGTCCTTCCAGAGCAATGGGCGGCAAGTGTGCTATACGTCTCTGCGGCATATCCCTGGGCGACTGTCCTCATCTGATTGGTTGTCCCCCTTTGTCTGTAGTCTTCGGTCGGGCATGCCCCCCTACATGTGGATTCTTGGCGAAAAAGAAACAATACTCAAAACATGCACCAAACATGTTCAAGCATACTCAGAGACTCGTCCCCAGACTATGCCTTGACTACGTTTGAATCTTCCTCCTGTAGAAGGGGCACGCCCTACGTAACTGTAGTCTGAGCTCTCGTCGCTCTCTCTCTCTCTCTCTCTCTTCCCCTGCCTCCCGCCCAGTCTGTGCGTCGGTTTGCCTGCCCGTCTCTCTCTCTCTCGATCTGCGTCGACCTGCCCACGCTGCGCAACGAGTGAGGCGACGTGGGGCACCCCCTAAGAAACTGAGCATGTCGATTGGCAACTGTGACTGGGGCCCTCGGACACACACACACACACACACAAATAAACACACACACACACAAATAACAGGATTCTCATATTTTCCCATCTATTCTGGGCTTCTGTCTTCCCCCCCACTTCCCATATGCGCCTGGGAATCGACGACTCATTGTCTCTGTGCGGTTTTTCCGCATCGAGCCGCATTGTCGATGCATCGTCGATGCGGCGTGATCCTTCCATTTGCAGTCGTAGCTCGACAACAAGAAACCTTCCACAAGAAACCCAACCCTGAGACCCCATGACGTCCACTGCTTTTTGGTGGGAACGGCACACTTTACATAGCAAAACCATCGAAACCCGAGAAACCCAGGGCACAATGGAGGCAAATAGGGCGTTTCTTGGCATGGGCTTCTTCTACACTCGAGCCCCATCGAGGAGGCCTAGACAGGTGTAGCTGGGGTGCGGCCAGACCGACCCCTTCTGCGACGAGCCCCCTCTTGTGACAAACCGCTCGCTCTCGAGGCCCTCCTCCGGCAGCCATGCCCACGTCTTGGAGCGAGGCGGGGGGTCGGCTTGCCAGGAATACTCGGCCAGGCCTCCCCTGAGCAACGGAGGCGCAACGCACGCACCCAGTCATCGGCCTCGCCTTCAACTAGTATTGAGTCGGGCGTGTCCCTCTACACGAGGCATAAAAAACAATAGAACAATAGCCTGGGGACGATTTTGTTTTGGAATGCTTGACCATCTTGGTGCATGTTTAAACTATACTTAGACCTAAAACTAGTACCATCGCGCCCGCCCGGGCTCCAGTTTCGGAAAGCCTCGTGCGCCGCGCCCAGCTCTGAGGAGTAACCGTTCGGCGGAACGCCCGCACTCAAACCGAGGGCGACGAGATGGATGCACGACCCGCTGACTTAGGGCAGCTCCGAACGAAAGATGAGGCTCGCTGCTCGTTCCACTTGCCCACGCCGCCCTCTCCGTTCTCCCCGCGCCACCCGCGCCACCCTCCAAAGAAGCGGCGACCAAGTCGTAACGACCCCGCGGCCCTTGGACCCACGTCGGCATGCACAACAAGGGGCCGTACAGCCCACACGTCAACCAAAGCCGCTTCCCAGACCCCCGACGTCGTGATTTGTTTCACAACGAAGACCCCCAAAGGCTGGAACCCCTTCCCAGGACCGTTCTTCATCCCGAGTCGTCTGTTTGACTGTCCTGAGGCCCATTAAGACAAAACGGCTCAAGCACAAACTTTCGACGGTCCGAGCGGATTTCTTGGATCTGCGCTGACCCCCCTCCCTGGCGCGCGCAGCGCTACAGGGGCGGCGCCAGAGGCGCCGCCAGGGGGCCACAAAACAGATCCAAGAAACCCGGGCGGACCGCCGAAAGTTCACGTTTATGCCGTCTTTTCTTCTTCCAGGTAAGGGCCCCCGAAGGCCGAAAATGATAAAAAAACCTCCGTCGTGTTGTTTTCACGACGCGAGGGGGTCTGGGTCCCCAGATATCCCACGCTCCAACCAAAATTTGAGCAAGCGGTTTTGGGCCGTTTTCGGCCTCTGGGGGCCCTCGCAGGGCCTCGGGAGTGTCAACACAACGACTCAGCAGGAAAAACCAGCCCAAATTAGGGAAGTGGCCCGGACCTTCGGGGCCCATGCATCAATAAAGATTGGCGCGGCCAGATGTATGGGTTTCTTCTCTTCGTGGGATTGCCCCCCCCCTCCGAAGCGATGAATGGAGATACCCTCTTTCTCCTCCTCCTCCTCCTCCTCCTCCTCCTCCTCCTCCCCTTCTCCTCCCTCTCGGTCCTTCCTCCTTCCTCCTTCCTCGCCTCCTCCCCCTCCCCCTCCTCCTCCTCCCCTCCTCATCTCCTCCTCCTCCTCCTCCCTCTCCCCTCCTCCTCTCCTCCCCTACTCCTCCTCCTCTCCTCCTCCTCTCCCCCTCGCCTTCTCTCCCCTCCTCTCCTCACCTCTACTACTCTCCTCCTCTCTCCTCTCTCCCTCCTTCTCCTACTTCTCTCCCCCCCTCCCCCTTCCTCATCCTCCTCCTCCCCTCCCGCCTCTCCTGCTCCTCCTCCTCCTCTCCATCATGCTCCTCCTCCCGCACTGGAGGGTGAAGGGATCGCCCCTCAACTACCCCTCCCCCACCCCCTCCCCCGCCCCCTCCCCCTCCCCCTCCCCCCCCCCCCCTCCCCCTCCCCCCCCCCCCTCCTCCTCCTCTCCTCCTCCTCCTACTACTCTCTCTAATCCTCCTCCTCCTCCTCCTCCTGCTTCTGCTCCTCCTCCTCCTGCTCCTCCTCCTGCTCCTCCTGCTCTTACTGCTCCTCCTGCTCCTGCTCCTGCTCCCCCTGCTGCTCTTGCTGCTCCTGCTGCTCCTACTGCTCCTACTGCTTCTCCTCCTCCTCCTCCTCCTCCTCCTCCTCCTTCTCCTCCTCCTACTCCTCATCCTCCTCCTGCGAGGGCTTGTTGAGCAAGAGCGGTGCGCGCTCCGCTTCTCAAGGAGGCCATCGGAAGAGGCCGTGCCGGGAGCCCTCCCCAAAGGTCCAGACCACTTCTCCAGGGCCCCGAAGGTCCGAACGACTGCTTCGATGCATGTGCCATGGGCCCCGATCGGGGATCTTCTGACCCGGGTCAATCCAGACCCGGGTAAGTCAGGCCTTGTAGAATTCTCGAGATCCTGCGCGCAAGCCTGGGTCAATGCGAAGAATCCTGCAAGATCCTGCAGGATCCTGCACCAAGCCCGGGTCAATGCGACCCTGGTCCTGCAGGATCCTGCAAGATCGGGCGCTCTGGCTGACCCCCGTTTGCATTGACCCCCGTCTCAAGACTCCCGACCCGAAGGTGTGGACCACTTCCCTGCCAGCTTTTCGTCCTGAATCGTTTCTTGACGCTCCCAAGGCCCGGCGAGGGCTCCCACAGAGACCGAAAATAAACAAACACCGCCCGCTCCAATTTCTGTTGGAGCGCCGAATCTCTGGGTGCATCTCAGGCCCGGCTGACCTTCGAGCCCCAGATCTCCTCGTGATGTGGCAAACGCTGGAAGGGGATCCTCTCTCGGTTGTTCGTCCATGAGTCTTTTGTTGACGCTTCCGAGGCCCGGCGAGGGTCACCAGAGGCTGAAAATGGCCAAAAACCGCCCGCTCCAATTTTTGTTGGAGCGTCGGATCCCTGGGGGTCAGCCCTCAGCTCAACCGGAGGGGATTCAGGATCCAACGGATGCCCGATTCCAAGCGCACCCCAGCGAAGGTGTCCGATATAACTCAACGTCGACTGCACGCGCAGGGGCAGCGCTCGCAGTCAGTCGCAGACAGTAGACCCAAGCCCAGACAGATACCAAAACGTGGCGCTTCCCCGTGGCTTTCGAGCGACGTCCCGTGCGAAAACTGCATGTCCCTTCCGCTCCCTACCACATTCATGTGCGCTGCCCAAAGACCCCTTACACATCGGTCGGAAGAAGTAGGTGAAAACATGAAGTAGGAAGGCGTTGGAAGTATATTGGGTTTCCGCCCGCCTCCTGTAGAGGAGGGAAGAGGGAACACCACTCGACTCTTGAAGCAGGAAGGCGGCTAGAGAGTAGACTGGAATCTGGAAATCCAGAAAACCCTCAACGACCGATGGGTACTGTGCGCTCACCTCAGTGGCACCGGCACGTCCGCCGCACGATCCCCCCCCCCGGCGGGGCGGGCTGGCTGCCCTCGTGAGCGCTTCCAGGATGGGCAGGTAGTTGCCCGTGCTCTGGAGGCTGATGCTGACGACGGTCGGCCTCTCGCCGACTCGCTCCCCCTGAGATTCGACGCCGCGAGAAACACAACCCCAGACCCAGACGTGCGACGTCCTGATCATCATGTCTGGGGACATGATCGCGTCGTGAAAAACTCCGGACGGGGGATTTTTCAGCTTTGCGGCCCCCGTGGGCCCTCGCCGGGCCTCGGGACAGTCAAACAACGACTCGGGACGAAAAAGCGGTCCCGGGGAGGGGGTCGGGACTTCCAGGGACGCCGTCTTGCAGCATCAAGACGTCGCATGTCTGGGACCGGAGCCCTGGACAAGAACCCTCGACCCAGAGACCCATACCCTGTCTTTCTGCTAGGGTCGGGCATGTCCTCCTACAGTTGGATTCCGGAAGAATCAATAAAAAGTAGTCAAACAAATTCAACCATAGTCAGTAAAAAGAACACGACATATCGTCACCAGAGTATTCTTTACTACGCGGTGTTTTTTCCAGCTGGATCGACCTGCGATGGACGGGCGAACATGCCCGTTGCAGCAAAAAAACATCGCCCTGTTCTCAATGGCCACCTTCCTCGGAACAAGGGGAAGCGACAGCAACACCACCACCGCTACCAGGGACCACCAGCAGAAGGAGCCAGGGGGGGACCCCGGTGGAAGTGTGTCCCCCCCTCCCCCGTGGCTCGAGACATCCCCAGTCCACAGCTCGGGGATGCAACTCCTCGCTGGAGGTAGCCCCCCCCGGTGGTGGTGTTGTTGGTGGTGGTGGTGGTGTCGCTTCTCTTTCCCCCGAGCCCCCCGAGATGCCTCGCGCCTCGCTCCGCGCGATGCCCAACAACAAATGCTGTCCAAGAAATCGGCAGCGACCGCTGTTGGGCGGGCCATCCTGGCTTCACATGGGCAGTGCGAGGGGCGACACCGACTGCGAATCCGGCTCAAAATCATACGAACGGCATAGAACATAAACTTTTGGCGCTCCGCGCGGACTTCTGGGATCTGCACTGGACCCGCCTCCGTGGCGCGCGGAACGCGCCAGGGGCGGCGCCTGAGGCGCCGCCGGGGGGGCCCAGCGCGGATCCAAGAAATCCGCGCGGATCTTCAAAAGGTTTATATGTATGGCGTTTTTCTTTCTCGAAGTGTGAGGGGCGACGCACACCGACTGCGACTCCTGCTCAAAATGAACGGGAACTGCTGCTAGTCCTTGTGCCAACTCTTGTTCCGTAGCCACTTCGATCGCACCCTCAGGCCGGGCATGTCCTCCTACAGGCGGATTCTGGAAGGCAAATGAAGGATAGTCTAAAATTTCTCAAAAGCTGTCACACAACATCGTCTCCTGGCTACTTTTTGACTATCTTTGAACACTCCTCCTGAAAGAGTGACATGCCCGACTTCATCGCACCGATTCCTCCTGCGACCGCCGCCCCGGCAACCGCCCGGGCCCGCGTGCACAGCGAAGGCCAGCCCACAGGAAGCCTGCCACGAGAACCCCGACCCTGAGACCCCAGGACGTCCACTGACTTTGAGAATGGGAACGGCACGCTGTCCCTTATGGAAACCGTGCCGTTCCGATGGTTTTGCTATGGCATATCAAAACCATCGAAACCCAAGAAGCTCGGGTCGGGCGAAAGGGGGGGATAGCAAAGGGGGGGGTTGAGAATCAGCTCACGTAGCTGATTTTCCCGGCGCCACCCGGCGCGGAGGCGGCCATGTATCGAGGAATGGGCCCCTCGGTGGGGCCGAAACCAGCTGCATGCAGCAGATTTCGTACCCCCCCCTTTCCCAATCCCCCCCTTTCGTCTGGCCCGA